CACCTAATTTAAGCAATAAACTTGATAATGCAGCAGGACTTCCAGGAGAGTATTTAGACTAATAAGACAGGACCACTCCTCTCTGAGGTAAAAGTTTAGTACTAACATTTTAACAATTTTTTAACTTCAGAAAAATCTTGTACTCTGAAGCCAAACCCAGGGCAGCATTGCACAGGATTGCACATTGCACAAACCAGACAGGAATGGTCAAAGTATTTTTCTGGGTACAAACAACAGACTTGTGGTACAGGGAAAGAATAAAAGAAGTGAGTGTTACCTGACTTTCTACACTTACTGGCAAAAACGCTTGCATTCCTTCTGCATCACAGCTGTAGCACTGGTAACCTGATACAGAAAACTATTCAAGAAATAAGTCTGTTCTGCAGAATCAGTGTGGTCTAAACACTGCTTAATCATTACTTCAAGTATCACACTCATAGCTTTTTCTTCTTCCCACCTACTGACACTCAGATGGGTTAGAGAGCTATGTGGAAATTTAATTTAAATTTATTCCTGTTCAAGTGCCCTATTTCTCAGTGGACTGTGTTACAAGAAATCAATTTAAGATAAGATTGCTGCTTTTAAATCAATATTTTTATGTCAGGTATGATGAGACAGAAAACTTACTTAGACTTCTCATCACTGAGACATTGCTTTTGTAGTACAATCTTTAAGGACTTTGGCTTTGCTGAAAAGGTGAATAAATGAACTTGCCAAACAGAACAAAATCCTTTTCATTTGCATTTCATTTTCAGTAATTATGATAACTGCAGCAAACTATCATTTAAATATTTTAAAAGAAATCACTCCTATTGAGTTGATACATAAATATTAGTACAGTGACAATAATTTATTTAGTGTAAAGCTGTTTTCCTATTGTAATCACTAAGCACATGATGCTGGAGTTCCAGTAGCTCTGCTACAAGTTAAGTTCTTCTGGGGGGTTTAAAACCTCCAAGGCAATGTTAGAATCATGTAACACATACATCACAGGATGCACATATTTCATTATTTTGAAGAGAAGGATCCTATAGCTTCTTCAAGAGCTCCATCTGCTAGCAGTCCACATATTTTACTGCATAAACTCCAAAAAGGATACAGGCCAAAGTGTGAACCTCAGCCCAGCAGGGCTCTTGTTCCAGAGGACACTGCAGACATGGGGGATGCAGCACCCAAGGGTGACCTCAATGTGCATGAACAGCCTGTGCCTGCTCTGCTCCTGCAGGAACCCAAAGCCCCTGGCCAGGGAATGCTCCCAAACCCCTGCAATGCACAGTCAAGGACCTCCCCCAGCCCCAGGCAGCTGGGCCAGCTCTGCTGCCAGGGACACACCGAGGGCTGGCCCCGTGTCTTCCCCAGCATCCCAAGGCTCCTGGGATGGAGATCAGCAGGTCAGACACCTCCCCTGCACGGCTGGTGAGCACATGTGAGAACAGAGGGCACTGGCTGTGACCTAACCTGAGCTGGGGCCTGGATACAGCCCCACACACTCATGGGGGCTGGTTTCAGTTTTCAGTATTATGCCATATTCTTGGTTGGTGATGACACAAACATTTGAACCAAGTTCATCCTTCAGGATCAAGCTCAACTTGATTTCTAAACTAAATTAATTCTAAATTAAAACATTTTTTAGGCAACAGACCCTGATATGCAGAACACCCCTGACAGAAAGGATGTGGAGGATCTCACTCTCCCTGCCTTTCTTCTAAACCATTTCTATCATTAATTACTAGGTGTTGACTCAGATATTCCTAATCTTGATCTATTCTTGCTATCAGTTACATGGCTTGTTTTATGTTCTATTTAATAGAGCTTTTTAAGGAAATTAGAGAACTCATAATTTCTTTAACCTACATTTGTGACTTCCAGACTACATAAATCAGTGTATTTCCTAAAGCTTGATTTTAAAAGCTTTAGTCATGCTTTGTTCATTGAAGCTTATCAGGGTTAGTTTAGCAAAACTTAGTTTCAGTGATTTTCTAATCACACTCTAACAATAGCAGTTCTGTGCAAAAACTTAACTATGTGTTGGCTAAAATGGAAAATGGAAAATTCCATTGCTTATGATTAATACCCTGCTTATTATTAATTACAACAATTAAAAAGTTAATTTAAACCATTAATTAGAAAAAATAATTAGGAAAGTTATATAATTTCCAACAAAACAGACACTGCTCACAAATGATTCTGTTTCTTACATTAAATTGTACCAAGTCAGACATCTCAGAATTTGTTATAAAGCAATGCAACAAATAATAGCTGAAAAGCCTTATTCTTCCCTGAAATAGTCTCAATGGAAACTATTTTTCAGTAGTTTATTAAACAGGTTTAGCATGTGATTGTTTCAATGGTATCCAGTGAAAAAAGGCTGCACCAACTCAGAAGTGTGAAAGCAAATGTAGAGTTTTGAGCAATATAATCCTCCACAGGCACATTCTGCTACTGCTTTCACTCCAGTGCATTTGAAACAGGCTAATACCAAAGCAAAATCAATCACTCAAAGTGAAATCAGGGTTTGCAGTGCCTTAACTAAAACAGTTAAAACAGTCTGGGTGTGAATGAAACCTGACTGTTATGTCTGTCCTGCAGATGGGTCCTTCCTTTGTTTGGGTAAGTATTTAAATGCAGTTTAAACTTGATTTATGCCAATTTGGTTTAAATAATATGCAGTGGCTTGAAGACTGGCTAATAAATGGATCAAGATGGAACTACAGAGAAAAAAAAACCAAATCTTCATCTAATAAAATTAATTTTAAAATGTGTTCAAAGGATCCCACTTACATTGTCTTCATGGCATTAAGAAGCAAAGAGAAAACTTTCAACTGGTAGACATTCTGTAAAGAAATCGAGCTAATCTTTTTTTCTTCTTAAATTAGGAAGAAAAACAGAGCCTTACAGAATGAAGACTCCAAAATATCCATAAAGGAGAATGTTTTGGAACAAATAACCTTTCCTAGTTTTCCTTCTTTCCTCTTCATCCTATTATTCCTTGTATTAGAACCTTTATTTTGCATTCCAAAGCAGCATTTTCCAGAGTTCCCTCAACGTTTTGAATAAGTTTTTCCTTTTAAGGAAAGATTTAGAAGACTTTAAGACATCAAATCACTTCTTTTGGTACTTCACTTTCTCTCTCTGATTTCTGCCTGTAGTGTCACTGTTCAAACTGATTAAATCCTGAACCATTATCCATTTTCAGAACATAATAATGCTATTATCAGCTGTTTTGCTGAGATGAAAAAACAAGCTATCTGAAAACCACATCATTAAACAAGTAACACAAACTAGACAAACTGCAGGTTTCTTGGGTGCCTTCTTTGTGCTTTTTAAAACACCACCTAACACCACTACAGGCCACAAGAATATCTGTGCAACAAAGATCTTCAGGCAACGTTCAAGCCACAGAAATCATGGAATCACAGCTTCCAATCCAGCTTATTATTGAAGCTCACAGTATCTCATTCATCAGCTTATACAAAACCTGGAAGAAACACTATTCCTCTCTGAGCTAGGGGTAAGAATATAAGTACATTTAAGACTAGCCCAGCTAGCAGTGAAGTTTTGAAATTTTTGACATTTCTGTTGGCATTGATTCAAAACTTTTAATTTCAAATGACAAAGCCATACCAAAGACAGATTTTCTAATCAACCTTTTATACCATAAAATGATTTATTTTTTTATTTTGGCAGTGCCAATATCAACTGAGATGTCAGCATATATCCAGTGCAGAAAAAAACATGAACAATCTTAAAACAACATCTTGCCAGTACCATGCCACACTCCCCTTTGCAAAAGAAAATGTTTTTACTAACTAAATTTTAAGTGAAAGTCTCTAGAGCTTTAGTACACTGATTTACTAAAACCAGACACTGATGCAGCAGCAATGCATTTAATCCCAACTCTGTTCACTGCAGCATGGCACCTTTGGCTCTCAGCTCAGCAGCCCTTCCTGCCTGCCATCAACTGCTCTCAGAAATCTCATTCTTCCTTTGCATACACTGGCTACATACAAAACCCAAGTATTATTAAAATCCTGCTTCTTTTCCTGCCAAATAACTTGATTACTCCATTTCATTTCAATACTTGCTTGACAAATCCAACTCTGGAAACACTAAGGCCTGGTCTAATGTTTACAAGAAGTCATTTCAGCAAGTCTTAACCACAGAATGAAATGAAGACAAATAAAACTCATCCATGTATTTGGATTTTTTTGACTCTTATATAAAATCTGTGTAGCTAACGGGACTCCAGAATACTGCCAAGAGGGAAATGAGACAGGAAGAACAGGTCAATACAAAAAACTTGTTATATGCATTTTTCTGTATATCTTACCTGCCAGTGCATAATAATTACCTGCTAATGTGTATATCCAAACAAGGTGGCTAAAAAGAATGGCTGAAATTGCTTTCAACTGATGGATATTTTAATCTAATTGATTTAAGTTACATCCCAATCCTAAGATGCCTTAAGCAAAGGCCAGTCACTCATTTATAGCAAATTAAGGTACTCTTAGAGTAACACATCACAACTTCATAGGAAATTATTTGATATTTTTTAGATTATTGTAATTTAGACAAATGAGTAAACACTGAATCACGGGGTAGAGAAAATGATTGGCAATTACATTACTTGAAAGAATGTTACCAGAAGAAAATTGTTAAGTAACACATCTCTAAGAAAGCGACATTTTACTAAAAGACAAAGACATCTATTTTCCACCAAAATCTAGAGCTGCTGTCATCAACAAGCCAACAAAAGCTACAGCTACCTAAAATGGAAATGAAAATGTAATGTATGGAAATATTCTCTTATAAAATCTCCTTAGGCTTCACATGTATTAATGTATTAGTTTGCAAACATTAAGATCAAAGGCAAAGCAACAAATACATCCTAAAAAGTTTTTAGTCAGATTTTTATTAACGATATACAAGTAGCAAGGCATAAAAAATTAATATGTTCAAGCCTTGAAATGTCAAGTGTAATGATCTCTAGCTCTGCTTACCTCCTTTGCTTTTTGTTTCAGTCTAGCTTGCTCTGGGTCTTCTTGCCTTGAGCGACTCTACATGTTTAAAAAAAATGGGGAAAAAAGGTTAACAGATGGTTTAAGAACCCCTCATCTGTTGCAGTAAGTTAAAAAATAGCAAATAAATAAGAATAGGACACAAGGTATCAAAGATGGGACACTTAAATTGATAAAAGTGCAATTTCAAAGCCATAAGCCTCACCTAAAAGACAGTTAAATGTTCTGTTATAAACCAGATGTAGTCGAGATGTGAATTTAAAATACCAACCAACCAAAAAAAAAAAAAACTTCAAAAAAGCAAAAAAAAAAACCAAAAAAACCTCCAACCAACCAACTAACCAAAAAACCAACAAAAAACAAAACAAAGCCAAACAAAAAAAAACCCCCATCAATCCAACCATGTTTTTGTCAATGTGAAAGTTTCCATACAGGTTTAGATTTCAATTATTTAGTACAAACAAATTCAAGCATCCAAGATCAGAAGTTACACTCTTTCCATTATCCAAACTTTTAAATTTAAGTCCTTACAGTCACATAATTTAAAATGTACTGTTTACAAATAAGCTTGTATTTAGCTCTTGGTAGAGAACCTGAAGAAAACCATTGTAGAGTTGCCCTCACAAAAGGTAAATCTTTATAATAAAGATGTTACTATTCCATATGAGCTTCCTTTGGGTACAGCACAGAAATACACTCTGTTAAACCCATTCATCCACTACTAATATTAATGTTACAATTTTTAAAGCTGGATTAATATTGCTAAATGACAACTTTTGCATTTTCCTTCAAAACCAGGAACAGCTCTAAAAGCAGATAATTTAATTGCAATAACAACTTTTAACATTTCTTTAGACAGACTATTTAATAACCATATGTTAAAAACCATTAAATTTATATTTGTGCTCACTATGCATTTTTTAGAATGATGGAATTCAAAACTCAAGAGGCACATAATACACATATTATACTTTTATAAACGAGTCATAGATCAGCATTTAGCAAATGTTGCATAAAAAATTATAAGAAGCTCCAATAAAACTTGTGGCATCCATGGAAAACTCTTGTTCCTGATACCTGAGAGATGTAATAGTTCTACTTCAGTATTTCTTTGAGATTTAAAGTGATATAATTTACACAAGTCATAAAGGAATATCTGTGCCCCCTCCTATCTGTCACTGCTTATTGCTATGCTGAAGGCAGACCTGAAACTTGAAAGAATATTGCCAACTTACATATTCTCTGATTTTTTTCTGGTGTTTAACTTTTTCATACTATATTCTGGTCAGAATTCAAAATTCCATTAAGAAAACCAAAGGGAGATAGGTTTTAAGGGCTCACACTTCAAATGGTTGTGTACCATTTTTGATATACCTAGAGAGTGCCTTGGCTTGATTTGGCTCAGTATTCCACATCCTTTCTCCTGTTAGTTCTTTTGGGTTTTTTTTGAACCTGGATTTTTTTTTTTCAGCTAATATAGCACACTATAAAACACAGTGCTGATAATGCAGGCTGACATTAAATAATAATGAGATTTTCAGATGTGCATAACTCCTCCACTGTACACATCAGCTTCACCTTCCAACAACATCTACAAGTGCTTTTGTGTCTGTTGGCATGAGAGGTTGCTGGACAGGACAGTGTCTGCAGCAAAGGAATGATAAATTGAATTTTGAGACAGCCAATGACCAAAGCAGACTCTTGTGTTGCAGTTGTGGCACCCAAGGAAGAAACTCCCACCTCAACACAGGCTGAGGTTCCTTCTAACCACTGTGGCCAGACAAAAAGAAAAAGGTAGATAATGTGACCTAGTTAATGTTGAAAGGACAAAAAGGTATTTCATGAGATATGTGGGTCTGTCAGAGAGCTGGGTTTCTAATCAACACAGCAATTACTAACAACTTGATTATATTTATACCTATTAGGTTAAAAACCAAACAACCAAAGCCCAGTCAGTGAGCTGCTCCTCTAGGACATGGGCTCAGGCCAGTATTTATGAACAGAGCTGAACAAGGTCCTTGCTGTCATCCTGCAATAACAATTCAATCACTGGAGCCTCAGTTTCTCCAGCATGATGTATGGAAAAGCATATTTAGCCCTTTCATGGGTTTTGATGATAAATTTATAAATGTACAATGAACTTCTGTTGCCTTGTGAGTGTCACAGTGAAAGCAGAACAGAAACACAAAGTGTTGTTATACTCTGTATGAAAATTCACCAAATGCAAAGTACAAGTTAAAAGCACGTCAGCTTTAGGAGAAAGCAGAGTGTCCTGAGAGAATCCAGCTAAAACTTCTAATATTGTAACTAACTTTCTACAAGGAAATGACAGAATCCTGGAAAACACACCAGATGTATGCTGTGTTTGGGGACATTGTAAGAAGAATTAAAGCAGTAGATGCAAAGTAACATTGTAATTTCCTGGGCTCCATAAGTGAAGGAAAAACTCTGCAAGTGCTACAGAGTCAAGTAACACATTTAAAAGCTGGGGCTTTTTCTTTCTTCCCCAGAAACTGACCAAATAATGGCAGATCTGGAGTTCAGGATAATCTCAACATGCTAAAGCAAATCTCTGTAAAGCCCAAGTGTGTTCACAGTAAATATAAGATAAAAATTATTGCAGAGGTGAAAACAGGTACTCAGCTCCTGAACAATATCAAATATAAGAATCTTGTTTCAAAAATGAAGATTTAAAATACTAGGTGAAGTTAAATATATAACCCAGATTGAAGGTGAAGATGGAACTACTTTTACATTTAGAGTAACACAATAATTTTCTAGTTATTGCTTGAATCCAAGGCAAAGAGCTCTTCCAAAGAATCCATGCTAGTTCTTGTTTCAAACAAGCAGAATTCCAACTTTATATTGGATGTACCACTACTGCTAAAAAATTAAGGAATTTAACTCTCTTGTGTTCAGATAAACTTTAACAGATTTTTTTAAAAGCAGATTTTTAAGAGTAAAATACTTTCCTGCCGGATACCATGCCAGTAAGCTTCAGAAATAAAATCATCAGCATATGGAGCTAAAATGTACTAAAGGACAAGTACAAACATCAACTCTTTCATTAATTCTTCATTTTATGATCTAATGTAAATTATAAAAGGCTTCACCAATGCTCATGCAGCACAGATGAAAGCAAATATAAGCAAATGCAAATGTCAAGCTTAAGAGAGGTGCTTAAATAAGCTTTAGAAATGTCACTGGATTCCCTTTACACTCCATTCCACATGTGAACATCTCTCCCTTCCTCTGAAGAATTTGCACAATTTTGCTGCTGCTCAGCTTTTGTAATGCTTGTCTTACATGTCAACATCACCAAACAATTATTTTAGTATTTTATGCTTACTTTTGTCAAGCTACTGACTAATCATTCCTAGCTTTTTTAATTGCTAGGATTTAAATTTTAAATTCTAAACTTTTTTTCTTCCACTTAATTCATATTTGGGGTTTTCTCTTCCTTTCTCCCTAACATCCAAATCTTGATATGCAGCACTTCACCTGTTTTGTGAAACATGCTTTTCCAAAATCTTCCAATGCACCAACGTCTCCTTCTTCTAAAGCTTTGGGAACACCCACTAATCAGAGAACCCACCAAACCAAATACTGCCAAGGACTTCATCACAATTCCTTTGCCTTCTCCTCCCTGTTCATCATGTCTAGATCTGAAAATAAAGCAGGCTGCATTTTTGTCATGTATTTTCCTATTAATGAATAAAGACCTTTAAAAGCAAGCAAGCTTCCCATAGTCCTTTTAGAGAAATCCAGGACTGATCCTAAGCAGATAATACACTTCTAAATATATTAAATGCTGTCTCCCACTGAGAATGTATTCAGCAAACCAGGTTTATTAACATTTCTCCCAAACAACAGCTATTTTATTAGACCAGACAACGTGATATTTTAATTGTGAAGAACTAAAGTGCTTTGTGTTAGAGAGTTCTTTATCTGGAAAGTGAAAACTGCATAGATCACATTAGGTCTATGGAAATACTGGACTTCCAAAGTATGAAAAGCAGTGTATGTTAAATGTGTGTATTCAAAACAACAGAAATAAGGAGCTTCATTTACATATTACCAAACTCCCTAATGTTCCAAACCTCAGCTCTTCCTCTGGCTTGTGTTAAGGCAGGAGGCCACAAAAAGAGACATCTAATTAAACATGGAACAGTGTAGTTTTAAGGGTATTTCAGATTTCATAGAATTGTCTTAAATTAGAAAGTAACAGTGGTTTTAAAATTGTATATTTATAAATATGCACCAATTTTTAAAAACTTTTTAAAATTGGAGCATGCTCAGCATCTATGCAGATGGACAGATTAAAATTATTTCTGATGTGTTTCATTATGATAATTATTCAACACTTTGCTTGATTATTAACATTGAAGTTGCAATGTTGCTACATTTTTGATCCACTAACAAAAATAAATTTTCTGTTTAGATTTGTAAGGACTCTAAAGCCTCAGATTGTTACTCCTGTGTTGGGAAATGTCTCACAGGGTCTCTCCTGCTTTCAGCTACATCTGATCCCAGCTAAGGCACTTGCAGCTCTATTGCCCCTTATCAATACATACACTGGGGGTCTTTAATGCCTCCAATTCATCATTTTTCATTAAATAAAAAAAAAGTTGAGTCACAACTGCAGGTGCTGTACTATTGAGAGCCACTGCTGTGCCAACTGCTTCAATTTTAAACCTATTTTTCCCCCATTGATGACATTAGAACTTCACCCACGGCTGTACCAGCTTATAACTTTCACTTTTAATTAAAGAAATTAAATTGGCAACATGAAACACTTTGCTTTTACATTAGCTTTGTTAATAAAAAGTGAAAGTTAAAAGCATCATAGCTGAGGGTAAAACGCTGCTCAGTGTTACAACCATGGTGAGGTGGAATGCAAAGGCACAGGTCTGAAAAATGATTTATATTAAAATCATTAAAATTGCAGAAGAAAACTCCTAAAAAATTCAGAAAATTATCTCAACACAATAATTCCCATTTTGCTCTGCTCTGATCAGAAGCGAGTTCCAAGTGCTCAT